TTTATAAAAATCTCCTCCATTTTCTTTTTTCTTCTCCTCCCTATTTTTGATTTCTCATTAATAATAGGGTTGTCGATTCTTGGAAGATTGTCGGAATAAATTAATGAATAAAATCCAGAACTCTTCCCCAAAATTTCAGAAGAGCAGTGCCCGCCTCGAAATTTCGTTCGACATATTAGAAATGATTACACTCAAATTTGTTTATTTTTTAGCCCTATGAAGTTGTAATTTTTATTAGTTATAAAATTGTATGGATGATTCACCTAGCGGCATTAAAAACCCTTAGGCGGGGATTAAATGATCTAAAAGGATAAAAGAGAAAGCGTTAGTCGATGCTCCGGTGGCTTAACTTTTGCTAAGCTCTTTCTGTTGCCGCTAGCAAGGAACCCCACTTCTGATTTAGTGAATCAGTCGATCCAAGGTCAAAGGCGTTTGACCGAGGGGGTCTGATATAGGAATGGGGATGTAAGGATGTTTCACATAGCAGCATTTAAAACGCTTAGGTGGGGGTTAAGATCTAAAAGGATAAAAGAGAAAGCATTAGTCGATGACACGGTATCTCAGTGGCTTTGATCATTTTTCAAGAAGAAAGGGAAAAAGGAAGGAGATTAACGCGTAATACCAAATAATTTTCAAAACATTTTTTAAAGCTTTGAATGATGAAACGCTTAAGAAACTTGTACGATCCTTATTTCTAATTGTGTTTTTTAATATTGGTTCCTTCTTTATTTACTTGACTGAAGTAATTATTATAAAATTTTCTGTTGATAATATTTCTGTCAAATTATGGTTTTTCATGACATATTCTGGCATTATTTACATACTTGGTTCAGCTGCAAATGCTCCAATTTTATTTATCAACAGGTAAACTTGACGGCTGTTGCTGTATGCTACTTTTTTGTAGGAGTATAAGATATAGACCGAACGAGACGAGATCTCAGCAAAATCTCGGTTAACGAGAATTTTTCGAGATCTCGACTATCGTACGATAAAATTCTCGTATGGCACGCCCAGTCCGGTCTCTAGCATGAAAATTGGTTTTTGGGTAAACGATTACCGTATAACCTGTATTAATTGCCCTCCCTCAAATAATTACCCCACCTCTATTATTTACCCGTTCTAAAGGGAGGTCGAAACAATAATTACCCAGGGTAGTTATTAAAGGATATACGGTAGGTTATTATACAAGAGCATTTAGTCTGTTTATCTTATTAATATATGAGCAGCACTTTTTGGTTATTTAACAAGGCCTATATCGAACTAGACGCACGCACAGAGCGGGAAAGTAACCGGGTCTAGCTATGCTGTTAAATCTCGAGGCAAATTAAGGCCCCTCTACATTTAAGTGCATAAGTGGCCTTCAAGTGCCCTTGTTGTTGATTTAATTATAACAAAAATAATAAAATTTAAAATAAAAATAATAATTTATTTTTAAAGTACTGATTACAGAGAGGCTTATTCAAAAGAATTTTATTTAATTAAAACATTTTTCAAAAAATTATTTAATAATTCTGTTGCTCCTATAAATAATGTTGTACCGAGGGTTGATAATCAACAAGAGAATCAAATTGTTCCAAGTTCTATATAATACTTACTCACATTTAATTGTTTGTTTAATTAAAATTAATATAAATTTTAACGATAAATACTTAAACAAAATAATTTTTTAGTGGGAATTAAATTAATGAAAATCAGAATATTTTTCAAGCATGTATAATTTTCAAACATGTATATATTTATAAGATTATAGAAACGATAATTAATTTAAAACGTGTTTTAGTCTTAATTAAATGTTTAAATTAATTCTGGTCTAAATTAAATCAAACAAAAACATTAATCATAAGGGGAGGAACAAACAATGAAATGTCAAATGAAAATAGAAGTGGGCAAAAAGTGGCCACAAATTACATCATTTTTGTAGATAGTGATTTTTGGTTTTTGGTCTCTATTAACAAAGTCTTTATTCAATACAAATGTGAAAGTTTTAGTTAGAAGGAGGAGATAAGAAAAAGCTTTTTCTTGTTGGTGTTCGGATAATAATGAATTTTTAAAGCTTTTTCTTTTATTGTATAAGCAAAGGAACGTTACTCAATAACAGCGGTTATATTTATAACAATAGAAATGAGAATTCAGTTTAATTTAATGTTTAAATTACATAATTATGGTTCGAATAAGTCAGTTTTAATTAAACATTAATTATTGTGGATGTATTCTTAAACGATTTAAAACAGCTTCTTTGTACGGCTTATTAGTTAGTATACAAACAATTGGGTTAAAAACGGGTGTAAAATGAGTGAAGATTCCAAGAAATATATAAATCAAATTTATATTATCTTCTTTACTTGAAACATTTGTATTTTTATTGGATGTAATGAACAAAGTTAATACAATTAAAAATTGATTAATAAATGGAATAATTGTCTGAAATTTAATTAAAATTAGATTACTAAGTAAATTATGTACCAAAATTATCAAAGTTTTTGTCAATTGCTTAACTAATCTTTTCATATTTTGACTTTATCCAGTATGTGAATTAACATAGTAGACCATTTTAAATCCACATATAAAAATTATAATGTAAGGAAATATTATAAAGAGACTAAGAATCGATGAGGAAAAACCTTCCTACGAAAAAATAGTAAATTTATTGAATAATTTTTAATTTTAATACCATTTTCATAATAAAATAAGGAAAAGTTTTGTTCAAATATTCTTGATCGAACAATTTAATGCCCCCATCAATATATTGCACAGCGTAAAAAATACAAATCAGATTATATAACAAACCAACAATTAAAACAGTCGAAAACATATACAAAAAATATGTTTTAAAGTTGATTTTCATGTTTCTGTCAATTTGTTATATGTTTTAAATTAATTCTGATTTTGTTTTAAATTAATTCTGATTTTGTTTTAAATTAATTCTGATTTTGTTTTAAATTAATTCTGATTTTGTTTTAAATTAATTCTGATTTTGTTTTAAATTAATTCTGATTTTGTTTTAAATTAATTCTGATTTTGTTTTAAATTAATTCTGATATGTTTTAAATTAATTCTGATTTTGTTTTAAATTAATTCTGATTTTGTTTTAAATTAATTCTGATTTTGTTTTAAATTAATTCTGATTTTGTTTTAAATTAATTCTGATTTGTTTTAAATTAATTCTGATTTTGTTTTAAATTAATTCTGATTTTGTTTTAAATTAATTCTGATTTTGTTTTAAATTAATTCTGATTTTTATTTATGTTTTACCTGTTCAAAATTAAATATCTAAAAACGAATTGTGCACACAATCCATACAAATTTATATTAACAAAAAACAGTTCGATATATAAAAAAGTTAGGCAAATGGTCTTGTTGAAAGTATTTTTTATAAATTCAAAAAATATGCCATTAGTAAAAATAAAGACCAAACTGTCGTCTATGTCGTTTAAATGAAACTTAATGTTTAAAAATATTACTTATTTTTATTGGTATCCATCAGAATGGGCTATTTTAAAATTCGGAAGGGGTGTAATCCCACCAGTTTTGTAAATTATTTAAAGTTAGAATTAGAAGAAAAAATGATTTTATTAAAATTGCTCGTATTTATTTATGTTTTAAATTAATTCTGGTTCTTTAAAAGTTTTACCTGTTGTATAAACATTTGAGCCGTCAAAAATGAAATATCCAAAACACAATTTTGTATCAGAATTCTGCTGTGTGTTTTCATTTCATTTGGTGTTTTAAAAATAATTAAAATAATCAGAATAATGTTTAGAGGATAACCAAGTAATAAACTGCCCCAATAATCAAATTTAAATAAAATATCAATTAAATCAGGCATATTTTTATTTTAATTTTTAAAAAAAAGTATAGTAAAATAAAGTAAAATTAATTTAAAAAAATATTTTCAATAAAATGTTTCACACAAATAACTCTTAAAAATACAAAAAATATTTTTGAGAAAAATTTTTTATTTTAATTAATTCGTAAGATATGTATTATTACATTGACGACTGACTTGGTGTACTTGAGACAATAAACAGCACCGATATTTGAAAATATTTACTTTAATATTTAAATATAAAAACTTTTTATGAGAAAATTTTTTTGCTTTTTATTAAAATCGTGAGATATTTTTGCCTTCAGAAATTTATATTTTAATCCCAATTCGTACCATACTTACAAGGTACGAATTTGAATTTCGTTACTTCTTCCAATAAACAAAAATATTGTTAACTTTCTCTTTCTAGAAACATTGTTTCATATTGTTTTACATTGTTTTATAGTCAGATATAGTAAAATTAATAAAAAAAATTTTTTTACTATTAAAATGTTTCACGCTAATAACCTTTAAAAATACAAAAAAATATTTTTGAGAAAATTTTGTTTACATTTTTATTTTAACAATTTTCTAAGAAATTTATAAAAATGTAGCCAACTTTTTGATACATATACCCACGCACTTAACTAATTATAATTGTTTATAAAATTTATTAATGTTTAAATTATTACCGAAATCACAAATTTAGAGATTAGAAATCAGAATTAATTCTATTACATAATTTAAACATTACCGTATATCCTTTAATAACTACCCTGGGTAATAATTGTTTCGACCTTCCGTTGGAGGGAGTAATTATTCGAAGGAGGGTAATTATACGAGGTTTGAAATTTTAACGTGTTTTAGGGCATTTGTTTGGGGATAATTATTGTTGCAATCCATCGCTGGATTGGGTAATAAATGAAAGTGGGGTAATTATTTGAGGGAGGGCAATTAATACAGGTTATACGGTATATGTTATCTTTTAAACTAATATTTATTTCTTCATGTTAGATACTTCTTCATAATCATTTATTTAAAAATTTCAGAAAATAACTAGAGCTAGAGCCCGAGCCAGGCACGTGACCGGGTTTTCCGGATTCGGTAGCCCTAAACTGGATATTTTGATAAAATCTGGTTTCCCGAGTTTTCGAGGGTTTTAGCGCGGAAGCCCGGCCCGGGCACACTTTTACAATTATTGTGGAAATATTTTTATATTCTTAAAAACAGCATTTCGATATGGTTTGTTTGTTAATATGCAAACAATTGAGTTAAATACGGGGGTAAAATGAAACCAATGAGAAAAAAATAATCGAATAATGTTTGCCGTATTGTTGTTTGTTTGAATGATTAATATAAGTATAATAATTTCGGCATGTTTTACGAGTGGCACAACAGACTAAATAAATATTATTAAATTATTAAAAATCTTTTAAAAAAGATCAGAAAATAACCTGAACCCGAAACCTGTCTTTTTTACGATCCAAATCCCGACCCGAGAATGTGTCGAACCCCGATCCGAGAAATTGCCAATTTAAAATTTTTCATATTTACTTGCATATTAAATAAAATTTTTTTTTAACGAACACGACCCGACCAGAAACCCGGACTTTTGTTGACCCGAAACTGACGTGACATTTTTTTGAATCCTTCCCATCCTATAATTTACACAACTTTTTAATTTAGCATTTTTACATGTTTCTATTGATATAATTATTCGAATCTTATGTTTTGATTTTAAAAATGCCTATTTTTATTATACATATGACCATTCTGAACTAACGTGTCATAAAAGTCTGTTTCTCAAGAAACATTCCTCATAATATGTACAATTTCAGAATTAATTTAAAACATACCAGAATTATTAACGTTTTTGTTAATTGTTTAACCATTATTTTCAAATTTTCGTCAAATCCAGAATGTGAATTGACGTATTTAACCATTTCAATTGTACAAATTATCATTAATAAATATGTAATAATCTCGAAAAAAGCTATTAGGAGACTTGCAAGAATACTTGCCTTTTCAAAAAATTCATACTAAAAATAATTTTAAAAATTATACATTATCCATTCCGCATTGAAAGTAGGGCAAAGTTTTATTAAACTCTGAAAATTGTTGAAAACCTCCTTCAAAATAGGGTATAGTGAAAAAGATGATAGCCAATGTGTAAAATACGTCAATTATTACAACAATTGAAAACATATAAGAATATCGACGGAAGCCAATTTTCATGTTTCTGTTAAAATAAATGTTTATATGTATATTGAAATTCGGAATTCGGGAAAAAATTCGGAATTCAGGCATCTTCTTTAAATTTATACAAGAGCCTGAAGTCGGTAAATGTCCTGTCCAGTCTAATGTCTAAATAACAACAAGCAACAGAATTTAAGTTAAATGCTAAATTTAATTTAGCACCTGCCTTAACGTAAACGACGCACCTCTGATTCTCTATATAATGATACCAAGAACATGAAAAAAATGATTCTTCGCTGAGTAATAGGGTTCAGAATGAACTGATCCATACTGAACTGAGGTGCTACGTTACTGTTTAGAAAAATTCTGATTTATTGCTTACTTGTTTAAGACCAAATATCTATATATAAATTGAACGCATAATCCGTTTGTATTTAAATTGTAAATAAATTGCCAAGTAATCTGCATATAATAGAATAATGGATCAAACTTTTCTTTCATAAAATAAAACAAAATCCCGTCGGTTATAATATAAATTGAATTTCCATACTTGTCGGTTATATAAAACTTAAATGTTCAAGTTTCATTAAATTATAACAAATTTTGGTTTTTATTTATTTATTTATTTAAAAAAACAATTTCAACTAAAGGGGGTCCACTTACATTGTTGAAAAAAAATTATATAAAAATGTCTAGATTTGTGGTAAAATGACAGTATAAGGCTATTATTATTTATTTATACTAAGAAATTTTTTTTGTTTTAACTTATTCGTGAATTGATTGGTGAAATATTGGCAGAACCTGTGTGCGCGGGACTGGGCCATTAGGGCGCGGGGCCAGTAGGGCGCAATCTTATAAAAAAGTGAGTTGCTTATCAAAAAAGATAAAATTTTGCAATAATAACTCTCATGCCTTTATCTACGTTCTCCAAAAATTTCAGAATTTTTGATCAAGAATTTCGGAAATTGTGACCAAAAATGTTGATTTTCCGAAAAAACCCTAATTTTTCACGGTTTATCAACTATAACTTCAGAAATATTCGATGAAAAATTCTGAAATTTCTGGAGGAGGTAGTCAATGATGTTAGAGAAATTTGAGAAAATTTTCATAAATTTCGGTTTCGCCTAAGTGTCAGTTTCTAGTGCTGGCGCCCTAATGGCCCCGCGCCCTTATGACCCCAACCCGTGTGCGCTTATTACTGTTCATTTTACCCAAATTAAAATAATTTGTCAAGAGACTCTAAAATTAATAAAATTACATTAAAAAACAATGCTAACTTTTATTCACATGATTCTAATCTAACTTTAATTCTGGTTTTTACCAAGTTTTACCGTTTGTATGAACATTTGAACAGTCAACATTAAAATATCCAAAACACAATTTTGTATCAGAATTCTGCTGTGTGTTTTCATTTCTTTTGGTGTTTTAAAAATAATTAAAATAATCAGAATAATGTTTAGAGGATAACCAAGTAATAAACTCCCCCAAAAATCCCAAAAAAGGAAAATATCCATTAGATTGGGCATTCTCTATTTAAATTAAATATATTGTTCTCGGTTTTATTACAGAAATTTTCAATTAGAATTTTAGATATTAATTCAGAGAGAAATCCGGTAAATTCACCTGGTATATATTTAATGGCTTTTATAATTAAATAAAATAATTTTTTTAACTTTTATTTTATTTATTATTCAATTATTATATTAATAAATGACTGCTTTATTTTTAAAATTATCTGCCACAATTAAGTAAAATGTCAACTTTTTTGAGTAAACCTACATTCTTAAAATTATAGACAATAATATTTAGCTTATTTTTAGAAATTTATTTTAATTTGCGAGTGTTTAAAGTTAAATATGAAGATATTTATTAGTTTCTTAATGAAGTATTGTAAAGCATAAAGCTATCTAATTCCTAAGGGTGTGCAGTAGGCGGCGTATGTAATGGATAACACATCAGTCTTGTCTACTGAAGATGCTGGTTTACTTTAAACCCTTAAAAACGAGAAGACATTTAAAATTTTAAAGTGATACATAGATTCAGAGCTATTATTCATTCTAAGATAAATCTGACTTGGATTTCTAAATATACTTGGATATCTATAATACACAGTATTTGTTATAATTGAATGGCCGTCAATCTATTTTGAATACCCCAAAAATAGTCATTCAATTGGAAGGGCCATTGAAATGGTGAGGGGCCATTCAATTGGAATAAATACGGTATATTACCGGAGGATTATAATTCCTAGGAAACGCTGCTATTCAAATTTCTAATACGATCAAAATTGTTCTTGTGTCTTGCATCTAATCTCATAAACAAATTTTTGAACAGATAAAGAAACTTGTGTTCCTGTACGTAGTTACAAAAATTTTGGAGTCTTACATTTAATATATTTTGTTATGTAAGAATAATTAAGAATAATTAATAATAATAATAATAATAATAAGAATAATAATAAGAATAATAATAATTAATTCTACAAAGAATAATTAAGACAGTAAATAACAACTATATTTTATCACGATAATAATATATACAATAGTTGCGTACAATAGAATATGGCTTAGCTATGAGTATGTTTTTGGAGACAGAATAGAGTAACACCTATAATAAGACAATGACCATGATTGAATAAAAGGTACCGGTACCAAAAACTACCGATACGGGTACCGAAAAAATCCATTTGCCTAACACTATTTAAAACAGTTGTGTGTAATTGAGATGAATTTTTGTGGATCATTGTGAAAATATTTTTTATTTTTTTAAAAACAGCATTTCGATATGGTTTGTTTGTTAATATACAAACAATTGAGTTAAATACAGGGGTAAAATGAAACCAAACAAGAGTAATTATTCGAATAATGTTTGTCGTATTGTTGTTTGTGTGGACAAATAATATATGTATTAAAATTGTTGCATGTTTAAGTAGAGGAACAGCAGCCTAAATATTATTAAAACTTGTTTTGTAAAAGCAGATTAATTCAAAACATACCAGAATTAATTCAAAACATACCAGAATTAATTCAAAACATACCAGAATTAATTCAAAACATACCAGAATTAATTCAAAACATACCAGAATTAATTCAAAACATACCAGAATTAATTCAAAACATACCAGAATTAATTCAAAACATACGAGGATTAATTCAAAACATACCAGAATTAATTCAAAACATACCAGAATTAATTCAAAACATACCAGAATTAATTCAAAACATACCAGAATTATAAAACATACCAGAATTATAAAACATACCAGAATTATAAAACATACCAGAATTATAAAACATACCAGAATTAATTAAAACATACCAGAATTATTTTAAAACATACAATTAATTCAAAACATACCAGAATTAATTCAAAACATACCAGAATTAATTCAAAACATACCAGAATTAATTCAAAACATACCAGAATTAATTCAAAACATACCAGAATTAATTCAAAACATACCAGAATTAATTCAAAACATACCAGAATTATAAAACATACCAGAATTAATTTAAAACATACCAGAATTATAAAATATACCAGAATTATAAAACATACCAGAATTAATTAAAACATACCAGAATTATTTTAAAACATACAACAATTAATTCAAAACATACCAGAATTAATTCAAAACATACCAGAATTAATTCAAAACATACCAGAATTATAAAACATACCAGAATTATAAAACATACCAGAATTAATTTAAAACATACCAGAATTATAAAACATACCAGAATTATAAAACATACCAGAATTAATTAAAACATACCAGAATTATTTTAAAACATACAACAATTAATTCAAAACATACCAGAATTAATTCAAAACATACCAGAATTAATTCAAAACATACCAGAATTATAAAACATACCAGAATTATAAAACATACCAGAATTATAAAACATACCAGAATTAATTTAAAACATACCAGAATTAATTTAAAACATACCAGAATTAATTTAAAACATACCAGAATTAATTTAAAACATACCAGAATTATAAAACATACCAGAATTAATTTAAAACATACCAGAATTAATTTAAAACATACCAGAATTAATTTAAAACATACCAGAATTAATTTAAAACATACCAGAATTATAAAACATACCAGAATTATAAAACATACCAGAATTAATTTAAAACATACCAGAATTATAAAACATACCAGAATTAATTCAAAACATACCAGAATTAATTCAAAACATACCAGAATTAATTCAAAACATACCAGAATTATAAAACATACCAGAATTATAAAAGATATCAGAATTATAAAACATACCAGAATTAATTTAAAACATACCAGAATTAATTTAAAACATACCAGAATTATAAAACATACCAGAATTAATTTAAAACATACCAGAATTAATTTAAAACATACCAGAATTAATTTAAAACATACCAGAATTAATTTAAAACATACCAGAATTAATTGGTATATATACTATAGTGCACTCTCTTCTGGCAGAAAATCATGCTTGAATAGGGGTAGCAGACCAAATATCCTGATCCGAAAAAGTCAAGTTCTTTGAAGATGACACCTCTAGGGGGTCTGTTTATAGCAGACCAAATATCCTGATCCGAAAAAGTCAAGTTCTTTGAAGAAAAAAAAAAAGTCAAGTTCTTCCTGAAATATTGTACTTCCTGAAATTCCTTCAGATCCTGGACGCCATTTTTTAAGACTTACACTATAATTATGTTCGACTGTAGATATTATTTTTTATAATTGTTGCGGCGCAAATGTCGCGGCGCATAAGTCGCCCGGCGCAAAAGTCGCGGCGCACAAGTCGCCCGGCGCAAAAGTCGCGGCGCATAAGTCGCGGCGCAAAAGTCGCGGCGCAAATGTTCTCGGCGCAAAAGTCGTGATACCCTTATTTTAATTTTAGCAGATAGATCCAAAAAAACTTTAATTTAACGGTACCTGTTTAAAATTAAATATCTATATACAAATTGAACACATAATCCGTTTGTACTTAGATTGTAAATAAATAAACAAGTAATCAACATATAATAAAATAGTAATGGGTTAAACGCTTCTTTCATAAAATAAATTAAAATCCCGTCAGTTACAATATAAATTGCATTTCCATCCTTGTCGGTTATATAAAACTTAAAAAATGTTCAAGTTTTATTAAATTATGATTTTATAGTTTATTATTAAGTTTTACAATTTGTGTAAACATTTGAGATGTTAATACTAAAATATCCAAAACACAATTTTGTATCAGAATTCTGCTGTGTGTTTCCATTTCTTTTGGTGTTTTAAAAATAATTAAAATAATCAGAATAATGTTTAGAGGATAACCAAGTAATAAACTCCCCCAAAAATCAAATTTAAATAAAATATCAAGTAAAACTGACGACATTTTCTATTGAAAAATAATATGAATTTTTGTATTAGCTTTATGAATTTTTGTTTTAGCTTTATGAATTTTTTCAGTTAGAATTTTTGTTTATGAAAGAAACCCCGTTAAATTCACCTGGTATTTACTTAACGTCCTCTAAATGACAAAAAAAATTTTTTTAATAAGTAATTATTATATGAATAATTAAATGTTACTTTCTGTCATTTTTTGTTTAAATATTGGCAGCTAATTAAGCTAAAATGCCAACTTCAGCAACAAATTTTAAAATTATAGACAATAATATTTATCTAATTTTCAAAAAAAATTATTTTAATTTACAGGTGAAATTTTGTTTTTGAATTTTGTTTGTCTGGCAAAAAAGTAGTATATTGTATACTAGGGTTCACTACCCCCGGTTTTCGGTTAATCCAAATTTTAAAAACGTTTAGACAAATTCCGGTTTTATTTTGGGGGAATTTTTAATAAAATCACTCATTACTCCAGAAGTTAGAATTCAAAAAAATTGTTCGTGGAATTCAATTTATCAAAGTAGATATGAAGTCTTAGTCTAGAACAAATATTTTTGTTCCTACACATTAATGAAATATATCTGAGGATTAAGGGCATACAGGTTAATTTGGATGGATTATGAGGGTATCCTTAGATATCACACTTAAGTCTTCTAATCCTCCAATATATTTCACTGACCGACATTCCACTGACGCATTGTCATACACACACTAAATAGTGAAAGGAAGACTCAAATAGCCTAATAAAACATATAATCACTACTCAAGAACAATAAATCATTTCCCCGACTACTTATATTTTATAATTAATCCCGCCTATATTATGCACGTATAATAAAATCCATTTCTCCCATATACGAGTTCGTTAGTTTCTATTGTGATTGATGTGAATTGTATTTTAAATATGAAATAAATACGGGTACAGCCCAAGTAGGCGCGCGGCCATGTAGGCGCAAAGCTATAACTTGCTTCAATTTTTCCGAATCTTACCAAATTTAGTATTAAACGATTCCTCTCATCGTGCTAAAGAGAATGGTACCAAAAATGTTAAGGTCCAGAAAAGTTCCAGGTAGTTATGGCTTTGCGCCTACATGGCCGCGCGCCTACTTGGGCGTGTCCCAATAAATACAGTTGACAGTTTAGTTTTATTTATAATTATTGTGAGTTGACGTGCGCACAATGCAACCCTCTACCCCAACACCTTTCAACTTTACTATAGATTTATAATTATTTTGACTGTACAAACTTTATATACCTATTTAATTTTACAATAAAACTTCATTGATGTTTAATTAATATAAAATATAAAGAATTAAAAATCATTGTGGGTATATTCTTAAACTTTTAAAAACAGCCTTTCGATATGGTTTGTTTGTCAAGATACAAATAATTGCGTTGAATACGGGGGTGAAATGGCACCAAATGCCAATAATTATTCGATAAATGTTTGGCAAACTGTTGTCCGTGTAGTCATAATATATAAGTATTAACATTGCTGCTTGTTTTATGAATGGAACAACAGCCTAAATATTATTAGGTACTTTTAGGCTATCACCCCCTCCCCCCCCCCTCCTCCTCCAAATTAAAAAAGTTTAAAAAAACAGAATTAATTTAAAACTTACAAGAATTGAAATGCAAGAGTGGGAAAATCACAGTACTAGTTACGTAGTGATATCGTATTTTTAGAGGCCCTGATATACGACTCCCGAATTAAGGGGATTATTAAAAGAAATTGAGAAAATAAAAGGATTTGTAGGATTTTGAGTTTTGTGCAAGAGTTTTGAACCTCTATCGGAGAGATCAGGTGAAACTGGCTTCGGATCCTTGGCTTCGGTCCAGCTCTGGGGTTTTAAAAATCTTAGCGCGCTCCGGAGCTGGCTTCCGGAGCAATACCCAGCACTGATAAAAAATAAAAATTCTGGCGTTGTAAATTTCTGGCGTTTCGGCGCGCCGAAAGATGAAAATCATGCCAAATGCCAGAACGCGATATCGGCCAAAAATCACGCTAAAGCGTCATGATGCACATCTCTGACCAGAATTAATTTAAAACATACCAGAATTATTAATGTTTTTGTTAATTGTCTAAACAGTTTTTTCATCTTCACATCAAGTCCCGTATGTGAATTGACATATTTAACCATTGTAATTGCGCAAAAAAATATTATGGGAAATGGAACACTTTCAATAAAAATTGACATTAAAATTGTTGCAAGTCCAACCTTTTTATAAAAAGTATTTTAAAATATTAGTTAAAAATACATCATTCATTTCACATGTAAAAAGTGGCAATGTTTTATTAAAATTATCATCATCAACTTGTTTAATACCTCCCCCAGAGTATGGCATTCCAGAAAGATTAGTATACAAGACATAAATTAAATTTATTAGTGCGACAATCGAAAACATATATAAATAGCGACGAACCCCAATTTTCATGTTTCTGTTAAAATAAATAGTTTTTAAGTTTGATTATTATTAGTTTGAATACAACTCATGAGGGTACAGCCCAAGTAGGCGCGCGGCCAAGTAGGCGCAAAGCCATAACTATCTGAAAAATTTATGGACCTTAACAATTTTGGTACCAATCTCTTTAACTCGATGAGAGGAATCGATTAATACCAAATTTGGTAAGATTCGGAAATTTTGAAACAAGTTATGACTTTGCGCCTACTTGGCCGCGCGCCTACTTGGGCCGTACCCCCTTGATATAAACGGCTCCCAAACTTTTTGAATCAGTGGACATTAGGTCAGTGTTCAACAATAGGTCAGTGGTTTCTGGCAAAAATCAAAAGCATAAGACTAATTTTTCGAGAGTTAGAGGTAAATACAAAAATTTATATTTTTGACACTAGGAAAATTCTAAGTGATTTTCTTTACCCAATTAAGGCGAGTATTAAAAAACTAACTGACCATCGCTGACCACTGTCTTTTTGAGTTCAACTCATCACTCATTCAAGCTTATGTTTTTACTGGGGTTGTTGGCGGGCGGAACCGAAAATCGTGGTCGAAAACCGGCAATAAGCGAAAACCGGTGACAAAACCGCCCGGTTTCGGTTTTAAAGATACACCATTAAAAATTAAATTTAAAAAATTTTTTACTTGTTTAAAACTAAATATCTATATATAAATTGCAAACATAATCCATCAGTACTTAAATAAAAAGTAAAAAGGTAGACAACATACAGAATATAGAAAAGTAATGGTTTAAACTTTTCTTTCATTATATAAACCAAAATTCCGTCAGTGATAATAAAAATTGCATTTCCATCTTTATCGGTCATATAGAACTTAAAAACATTGTTATTAAATTCTTATTTTAATTTTATTTCGCGTCTATTTCTGGTTGGCTATAGTATAGGTCCACAGAGATTGGAACTCAGAATACATACCATTCGATTCGTCTCGCCGAGCTGAGTTCAAATATGTAAGAATTTGAAACGGGAAACAAAATCGCAGAGATACAGGCGATTGAAAATCGAAAAACCATAGGGGATGGGGGGGTAAGCTCTTTTTGGGGTAAAAAAATTTAAATATGCAAATATAACTCATTCGAAAGAGCTCGCCGAGCTGACACCAAATCAACGAAATCCGACTTGATTTGACAAAGTTACTACCGTTTGTTTTACCCCCCACTTAAGGCCTTCTTTCTACATATTTCATTCCGGAAAGTTTTAATTTTTTACTACGCTAAATGCTCAAATTTAATTCTGGTTTTAAAGTTTTACATTTTGTGCAAACATTATATTTGTTAATACTAAAATATCCAAAACACAATTTTGTATCAGAATTCTGCTGTGTGTTTCCATTTCTTTTGGTGTTTTAAAAATAATTAAAATAATCAGAATAATGTTTAGAGGATAACCAAGTAATAAACTCCCCCAAAAATCAAATTTAAATAAAATATCAATTAAAACTGTCATTTTCTATCTTTGAATTAATTTTTAAAAGTTTTACAGGGTGCGGCAAAAGTCCCGTATTTTATTGAACACAAAATTTATTTAAAATATTTTCTTAAAATTTATAAAATCTATAAAAAAGTGATCATGAATATGTGAAGAAAAGAGAAATTATAATAAATGTTCAAAATTTCCTCCCTCCGCCAAGATATACGCATCCAAACGAGTAATGAATTTGCCCACTATGGTCGCGCACTCATCCACAGTAATGCTACGCTAAAATGCCCATCCAAAAGCATTTTAGTCCCTACTTCCTACAAACTCAAGCCCCGAAAAAGTATATATATTCCCTAAAAGTCACAAAAAAGCTTCAAATTAAGCTAAATACATTTAACATAAATCTCCAAGCAAAACCGAAGGATTTCAATGCGCGTACATGGACGCTCTTCCAAAATGCACTTAAACTCTCCGCCCGACGTAACTAAATGCTAATGTTCATATGCATTATTCTTACTAGACCCATAGCGGGTTTATAATAAAAAATTTTTTTAAGTTTTTTTTTGCTTTAAGAATTAATTTTTAAATGCTTCATAGAAAAATGAAGTAAAATTAATTAAAAAATTTTCTTATTAAAAAGTTTCACACAAATAACTTTTAAAAATACAAAAAATATTTTTGAGACAATTTTGGTTCATTTTATTAACAAATCTCTGAGAGAATTTTATGTACTTTTCTGTTACTCACACTAATGACTTATTTACATTATTTAGGTATTTATTAACAAAAATACTTATTTTTACAGTAATGAAATAGACAAAATTGAGGAAAGAGAAAGTCTAATTATTCTTGATACATGAGTTAGCATAAAATATGTCAACAAAAGCTAGTTGAGTTTAACTAGGGCGTGGTAACTATGGGGGTAACTACTATGTCGGGGTAAGGGGTAACTTTAAGAATACAAAAAATATTTTTGAGAAAATCATTTCTGGCTTAATTAAAACTGTGAGACTAGCTTTGTTTACTTGCTTAGAATTAATTTAACACAAGTTGTAAATTATTAAAAAATATTTTATAAACAAGTCTAGAAACCAAAAATTAATTTAAAATAAGTTATTTACACTGTAAAAAATATTTGACGGACATCTATCAACTTTAATGTTTTCAAAACATTGTTTTTTAATTCTTGCACTTTTTTTGTAAAATAAAAATTTAAAAATTTTGGGTAAGATGTAAAATTATTTTTTCAAGAAAAAAAATATTCAAAAAATATTAATATCGGTAGTAATTAAACGTTGAGTAGAAGCAAGTGCATCTACTACAGTTGGACGAAATTTTTTATCCGAAATAAAAGAGATTCCATGTATTGAATTAAGGGTAATTATCGAGATTAAAAAGTTGCCGGGATTAAGGGTAATTCAAAGAAATGTTGAGGAATAAGGAGGATAAGTGGTTAAAATAATATCATAGATATTTCTTAATGAATTCTGACTTTGTCGAGCCTTGAGCACCACGACCACTCTTAAGACTATAGTTCATTCAAATAAAATATGAAAATACATTTTCAATACAATGAGATTGCTCTGGAGAGACTGCTCGCCTTTTTACTAGCAAACGCCACCCTAACAGTTTCGGTTCGGATATTAACGCTGGATATTCGAAAATTTCCAACTATCCGACAACCTTATCCCAAACGTTATATAAATCATCTTATAATCACTTTGACATTAAAAATTTTAAATACTTTTATTTTACATTAAAATTACATTAAAATATTTCATTCAAATAAAAAATAATTTTAAAAATTATTGTGGAAATATTTTTATATTTTTAAAAACAGCATTTCGATATGGAGTGTTTGTTAAAATACAAATAATTGGGTTAATTACAGGAATAAAATATACCCAAACAAAAATTAGTATACGAATAATGTTTGGCATATTGTTGTTTGTGTAATCAAAGTACCGTATTTCCTATATTAGAGCCCCACTCTTTGTTAGAGCCCCACCCTCTAATACAGCCCCACTTTGGAGGATAGTTGAAAAATAGAGCCCCACCCTCAATTAGAGCCCCACCCCAAATACAGCCCCACCTAAAAAATATTGGAGGAAAAAATATCAGAATAACTTTTAAGATGTATGTATTAAGAGAGTTAAGGAAATAAAGGGGGATATCTATGATTTCGTGATCATTGAGGAGGAGGGATCATGGGGATTAGGGATGAAAATGAGGGATTAATCCCGTTATCCGTCAAAATACTCTAATATCGCCTATATTCCTCCAAATTCCTCCTATTACCTCCAAAATCTAATCATTTTATAAAGGGTTGCAATCGTGTTAGGCACTTGATGATAATTCGCGAGATTATTAGAGATCTATTAGATATCTAATCAGTGATATCTAACCAAAATTTCTCTGGAACCGATTTCAGTTACGTAACTGCTATTTGAATTTCTTCAGTTCCAGTTCTGGAACCTGTTCCAAAGCTTTATCAAACAAATCCCTTCATATGCCTCCTAATACCCCTAGTCCAGAATATCCCTCATAATCCCTCTAAATCTCTCAATATAAACTTAATCCTCTGATATTCCCCATAATCCCTTAAAATCCATTTTTATCCCTCTAATCCATCAATGTCAAATAAAAGTTCCATAATATTTCCTTTAATCCGTCCAAATCTACCCATATTTAATAATTAATCTTACTCTCATTGAACTATTGGGACTATTTTGTAATTCATTGCTTAAAAAGTTTTGGTTTTTCTTGAAAAATCGAAAAATATAGATTCTCTTTCGATATTTTGCGGCTTTATCGACCAAACCCTCCGACTTATCTCTAGTTGCAATGGATATAATAAATGGGATTCTATCTCAAAAGAGGGTTGAAAAATAGAGCCCCACCCTCAATTAGAGCCCCACCCTTTAATACAGCCCCACCTTGGAGGATAGTTGAAAATTAGAGCCCCATGGGGCTCTAATATAGGAAATACGGTATATAAGAATTAAAAATGTTGCATGTTTTACGAAAGGAACAACAGCCTAAATATTATAAATATTAAAGCATGTTTTGAAAAATCAGAATTAATTTAAAACATATCAGAATTAATTTAAAACAAAATCAGAATTGATTCAAAACATACCAGAATAAATTTAAAACATACCAGAATTAATTTAACACATACCAGAATTAATTTAAAACATATCAGAATTAATTTAAAACAAAATCAGAATTGATTCAAAACATACCAGAATAAATTTAAAACATACCAGAATTAATTTAACACATACCAGAATTAATTTAAAACATATCAGAATTAATTTAAAACAAAATCAGAATTGATTCAAAACATACCAGAATAAATTTAAAACATACCAGAATTAATTTAAAACATACCAGAATTAATTTAAAACATACCAGAATTAATTTAAAACATACCAGAATTAATTTAACACATACCAGAATTAATTTAAAACATACCAGAATTAATTTAAAACATACCAGAATTAATTTAAAACATACCAGAATTAATTTAACACATACCAGA